TATGTTTTTGTATTTATTTAATTTAAAGTTTTTAAACAAAGTAATGATTTAATTTGTTGTAAGATCTGTACATTTCAACAAAAATGTGTCATTGTGGTTTACATGTACAGTGAAAACTGCTGTAGCGGAATTGCCACATATCAAGAAACTAGATTGGTAATAGGAACCAGTTTAACCGTTAGCGCAACTTGAATTTTTTTTTGTGTGTTGGCATTAGCAAATCGATGTTATCATTCTTCACAATACACAAATATTTTAGAAAACCCTTGACAACCCCTTTCCTCTGTTGATAAACAGATACTGCTCGGAACGGCAAAGTGAGGGCCTCTCATAGGTCCGCGCTAACAACATACTTGTGTAATGACAGTCGATAAAATGACTTGTTATTTGAAATAAGGGCCTTTCCATTTTAGTCAAACATTTCTTTTAGAACTTATCCAATTCCAATAGAGCTCATCCTTTATTGATGATAAAAATTGCCCGTATCTCTTGAAAATCTTTGTGCAAGGGGGGTGGGGGTGTTAGGGTGAATTTCCTGTATGAAGAGTAGTTGGGGTTACCTTGGATAAGGGTTTAGGGTTTTGGGGGAATTGGGGGGTTTTCAATACTGTAATAAATCATCCAATTTAAAGATAAAAATGAACACATGTTCGCAGGCAATTAAAATTCTAAGATAAAAATCGTGATGAAGATAAGAATAAAATTGAATTAAAGTTATCAATTGTTTTGTTTTTGCAGTAAATATTTTATCATTCATTTCTAGTTATCTTTCTTTTGAATTCGACGGAATTATCATTGAAAACATAGAAATAAATTGAAGCTACGGGGAACTTCCAGAAATAAATCCGATTGGTTAATTGATAACCTGACTTAAACGTTTTTCACTCCGATGATTTTGATTGATGTGGGCAAACATCAGAGAAATTATTGATGAGTCGGCAGATTTGATCTTTAATTGAATCATAACGTTTGATGTTAACGTAGAAAAAATGTTAAAAATTCGATATTGTGTTTTCAGTTCAGTTCGTTGTGTTTTTAGCCCTCTTTATGAAAGAAAGAAATGAGTCTGGGTTACCTCATACGTCAGTGAGTTCGTCACTCTTCAATGAGTCCGAAACTCCGTCAATGAGTTCGCCACTACTTGGGGTGGCTAAGTAGAGCATTGGATTTCATCTAAAACAGAAATGTCAATGTCACCGTCTTTCCTTTCCCTAAAATCATAATAGAGTTAAAAGTGTGGGTGGGTGTGGGTTTTTTTTGGGCGGGGGGGAGACAACCCTTTAATCTGGGGTGCTAGATCTCTAATGTTACAGTCTCCATTGCACACTGCTTGGCGTTGCTACATTATTAGCCCAATCTAGACATAATATACAGTAAGTAGGATTGCACGATAACTTTGTTAAATTCTTAATTTTGTATCGATTTAAGACATGTTAAGCTAACGATGTTCAGATTTTATTGGAAATTCTTTTCAACTTGGACAACTCTTGCATCTTAATAGCTTTATTAAACAAATGTGTTTCTGTCTGTGGGTTATGATGTAAACTGCGTCGTTAGGTTTTGAAGATAAGTTCAAATGTCTACAGTAATGGGTCTTTAATCCCCAATTTTCTGTTCAGACTATAGATGTATTCCGGTAGTATTTTAACGCTTGTTAGGTTTGACAAAATACGTGGGAAGCCTTCATTGAATGTTACAGAAATAACATAATTAGTCGGAACGTTTTGATCACGGAATGTCGGACAGTAAACAAGCACGATAACAATTACTGTTGCATCCAATTTTCAAAAAGACAACACATTAAAGCGGAAGTGTCATGGCATATCTTAGTCCAAAGTCAGATGAAAGTCACCCATTCCACACAGAGCACCCATATTGTAGATAGGAGCCCCTAGAAAATTACGGAGAAAGGTCATAATAGGTGTAACACAGACCCGTGGCTAAATGGAACCGGGGATGGGGGTGGGGGACAGGGGTTCTAAGAAAATTTTGCCCCCCCCCAAAGATGACTTGAATAACTTGTTGAGTAACTATAGTTGAACCCCCCTTTATATATACGAAAAAAAATTACAATACATGTTTTAATATCTTTTAAACTTAATTTGGTATTGAAGGTTTCCCAAAAAGTAATATATTTGGGCCAATTTTTGTTCAACTAACCATATTGATTGATGGGTGAAGTACAGTCATGAATGGTTTAAAGAATTTCGTCCTGAATATATCCGAAGAAGTATTATGCAAGATCAAGTTCGTTACTTTGAAAACATTCCTCCTTAGTTCGAGTCAAAATTGGCATGACAGTTATCTGGCTCAATAAATCAAATCGTGATAAATTGACGGTTTTTATTCCCTAGAAATTTGTTATTTTCTGACTCTAAAAACAGGTGGTTGGTTGTTAGATTGAAATCTGAGCGGAGAAAAACATGTTATTGTTCCTATATTAATTGAACATTTATTATCTAGCAGTTGATTTGTTTTATCTACAAATCAAATTCATCATTCTGTATCGAAGTTTCTTAAACAAGTACAGTTTGGATCTCGGTAGTAAACTTCGTCCATTACAATCCTTAATTCAAATTCTGTATTCTGTTCCAATGGCTCTCTTGAACAAGTTGTGTATGGATCTGTGTATGTAACAAACTTTGCTAATTGCACTTTAAAATTTGTTTCTAATATTGTACCAAGATGACTTTTGAACATCTCGATAACAAACCTCGTCCATTACAATCTTCAGTTTGTTTTAAATTTTTCGCTCTGTAGTCTATCAAAGGTTTTTTGAACGTTTTGTGTGTGCATCTCGTTTATTACAGTCTTTATTTCAAACTCTTCATTCTGTGCCAAGAGGGTTCTTGAAAATGCTGAGTTTATATCTTGGTAAAAAACTTCGTCCATTACAAGCCTTTAAATTCTTCATTCTGTATTGTGTTCTTCACTTAATAAACCATTTGTTTTACATGTCTGTGTATTTCTTATTTTCGAAAAGTCGTTTATCATCCATATCGGTCACATTAACTCCAGCAATTCAGGCAATATTTATCAAACGGTTCACTGTGACAGCTTTGCCAGCGCTCTTCACCAAATTCAGCTTCATCGAAACTGTCAAATTTGTGCCAATGGCAATTTTAAAACCAAACTTTGTTCGGAATATAAAAGATAACGACATTCTAATGTAGAAATTATACTTTCGACTTAAAGACCAGACTCTCTGTATTCCAGAAAGTATAATATCAAGTTACAAGTATGAATGAATTATTAAACTATTATAAATCCCAAGAAACAGTTTAATTCAAATTCCCGACTAATATTTTAACCTATAGTGTCAGATCAGCTGGTTCAATCTTCCACGGGAAATTTATGTGTCAAAGTGTATGGAGGAGTAGACGCTCATATTGGCCAATTCCATTTGAAAGGTTGACTGCGATGTACTTTCTGTCGCTGTATATTATTGCTTCGACGTAAATTTAAACAGAAATGGAACAATGAAACAAATACATGAATCATATCAATATTAGCCAATAGTTAACGTATAATTCTCTTTCTGCATTACCACTGTTACTGCGAACAAGATCATTTGTTAATCAATACCGAATCTCCTAAGGAGGATTCGAACCCTGTGCACTTCTCTATGCAAAACTTGCACAAATATATTAACGCTAACTTCTCTGTCATCATGGCCATTAAAGTCGTCAAGTTGATAAGCAATTAATTAATCAACACCGAATCTCCTGTGCACTCTGGTACCTGGAAGGTATCCAGTCAATCATATAATCAACATGGCGTTATCTCTGTGGTTCAGTTAACATCCATTTTACCTCCATTACTACAAATGTCGTTAACCTTCAAGGTATAGTCCGAAACTCACTTGGTTCTGATCGCCCCATTCGCTACTAGACTATTTGGGTCAAACCGATACAGTCATATAGATAACAATCTTCACAATGTCAAGCTATAACTAACTTCTTACTTATACTTTTACTGCAATGGACACCTTTCTTGTGTCAGTGAATACAACCAGAGTCCTTAATGTGTAATGCTAATGTCCTTATGTCGAGGGTTCTGATTGGCTATATTCGCTGACGTACAATCCAATCAAATCGCTGCATTCCTTGACATAGGGATAGTGGCTAGTACGAAGTTCGTAATAAATTAGTTTGACATTGTGAAGATGATAGGTAATATGGTGAAAGATATCTTATCTTTATAGTAAACCATGGTCAAAACCTCAAGGGTTTAGGTTTTCAGTAAGTATATAT